AGATTGGGTCAAACTACTCGATCCAAACTGTGGAGAAAACATGGAAAGCCTTGCAGAACTTCAAAGAGGGCAATGCTGTGTTCTCTTTTCCAAACACTCCTGTGAAATGCGCTGGAGCTCCACAAAAGATCATGTACCTATCAGATGCCTTTCTCAGAAAGGTACTTGAACAATGGAATCGAATGATAATGTTGTGTAGATTGTCAAGTCAAATGTGGTTGAACAGATTTGCTGAGGATCTTTTCATGCTTCTATTTCAGACAGGAAAAAGGGCAAAGGCCAATGTAATATACAACACTTCCCTGCCTGTGCTGTTTGGGATCAAGAAATATGCTGACTCACTGTGGGAAGTTGTGAAACGCCGTGACCTACAAGTGAACCTCAGGCACAACCTGATTGAAGTGCGGGCAGACAAGCAAGAGGCTGTGTTTGAAAATCTTGATAAACCAGGAGAAACCAAAGTGTTTGAGGTAACTGTCAGTAACAGTAATTTTCTTTTCTGTTTCCAGAGCCCGTTGTATAATTTGCCATTAAAGTTCCATTATCTTTAAATACTGAAAAATGATGATGCAGTGATATAAACAATCCAACACACTGTCCATTTTATCCCTTTGTACTAAAATGTATGACACATTGAGACAAGAGACTCCAGTAAGTAACTAAACTCTGCTTTTTTTTTAATTAGTATGAAATGCTTCATGTTACACCACCAATGGGACCCCATTCGGTGGTTAAAGGAAGTCCACTGGCTGATGAGGCTGGATGGTTGGATGTCAACAAAGACACCCTACAACATAACAAGTATCCCAATGTGTTTGGGATTGGTGACTGCACTAACCTGCCCACAGCAAAAACTGCCGCAGCTGTTGGTAAGTGACTGTTGTTTTATTACACAATTCTGGAAAGCATGCTGTTGCTACATACAGTTCAGTTTTTTATTTCATTGTACTCAGTGTACTTCCTGTGATTTGAAAGCCACTATCATGAAAATCTGTATTGCACAATGACCTATTTTACTCAAGAGTATCAAATCAGACACCACACCCTGTACTTCAGGTGGTGTAGGGACACTTCACTTCGTATCTGGCAGGCTCTGTCATCGCTTCAATTATGTTTATGTTTGTATTTAATTGTACTATTAGATTCCATAGAGGTGTTTGACACAAACACATGTTTAGAAAGTCAATTCTAATGAGCCTGGATAATTTAGGTTTCTTGGGTTTGTGCCATTTCCTATCTGGCAGTTGTTAAGTAATGGACTGAATATTCCTGGCATCATAGTGCAGTGAAGTCAACCCTACAGCCTTATCGTGTCATCATTTTTACAATCAGTGTAAGCATGCAAGATATAATCACTGCAGAAAGACCACGTTTTGCACACTTGGTTTTGTAGATTTTGAAGTGGATAGATTTGACATTTTTGCTCATCACTCAATAGCATATAATGACAAAAGTAACAACATTAATTCAGTTTTTTTTGCACATTATTTATTTTTTTATTTCTATTTTTTTAAATCCTTCATATACAGAAGTGTTCAATGCCTTTGGCTGCTATTACAGCGTCTAGTGTTCTTATTTGTGTTTCCGGCTTTGGACTGGTTATGAGCGCACTAGAGTGTTGTCTTGGCTGTACGGTATGCCTCAGATCATTGTTATGCTGAAAGGTAAACCATCGTCCCAGCCTCAGGCTGCTGCAGTCTGGAGCAAGTTTTCCTCGGGGACTTCTCTGTGTTTGGCTGTATTTATTCTTCCTTCAGCTCTGACCAGTCTCTTGTACCTGCCATTGAGAAGCATGATGAACAGGGCCTGGTGTTCAGCACTCATCATGTTTGGTTTGTTCTGCTCAGGGAGCTCAGTTTTTTTGTTCATCAGACCAGATCATCTTTGTCCTCATGCTCTCAGAGTCTTTTAAATGTCATTTGGCAAACTCCAAGTGGACTGTTTGGTGCTTTTCACTCAGAGTGGCTTTCGTCTACTATAAAGCTCTGATTGATGAAGTGCTACTGAGCTGGTCATCCCCCCAGAATGATCACTCACCTGTGCAGATAATTCCTGATGTTCTATCAGAGTGACTCTTGGATTCCTGACTAAAGACCCACTTGTTCAGTACTCAGTTGGTTTGTGTCCAACTCCATGAAAAGTCCTGGTGGTTTCGAACCTCTTCAATTTCACAGTTATTGAAGCCATTGTGGCGCAGTTGGTTAGCACTGTTGCCTCGCAGCAAGAAGGTTGCCGGTTCGCATCCCGGTGCGGGCACCGGGATCTTTCTGTGTGGAGTATACATGTTCTCCCCGTGCAGCGTGGGTTCTCTCCGGGTTCTCCGGCTTCCTCCCACAAGGTCCAAAAACATGTTGAGGTTAATTGGTGATTCTAAATTGTCTGTAGGTGTGAATGTGAGTGTGCTTGGTTGTCTGTCTCTAAGTGTAGCCCTGTGATAGACTGGTGACCTGTCCAGGGTGTCCCCTGCCTTCGCCCTAAGTCAGCTGGGATAGGCTCCAGCCCCCCGTGACCCTAGTGAGGATGAAGCGGTGTGTAGATAATTGATGGATGGATGAAGCCACTGTGCTTTTTGGGCAAAACTTAAAGCTTTAGAAATGGTGTTTATACCTTTGCCTTGATCTGTGCCTCAAACAGTTTTGCTGTGCAGGTCCACAAAGAGTTCCCTGGACTTCATAACTTGCTTTTTGTCCTGACTTGCATTGAGAATTGTGGGATCTTATCTACATGTATATATACATATCCTAAACCCTGTCCAGTCCATTCAGTTTGGCACAGGTAGATTTCAGTCAAGTTCTGGTCACGTCAGGAATTATTAAAGCAACAGGATGCACTTGACCACAGTGTGGAATGACACAGCAAAGGGTCGGATTGTCTTTGTAACTGTAAGATTTAAATGTTAGACTTTAGATTTGAGAGCATCAGGCATGTATGGACATTTTTTCACTTTGTCATCATGGGCTATAGAGTGTAGAGTGAAAATCTCCACTTTTATCCATTTCAAATGAAATCCACACCGCTGTAGAGTGCAAAAAAACTAAAGAGGTCCGAATACTTCTTGAACTGACTGCAGAATGTATCACTGACTGCTGTTCTTTTTTTTTATGGCTGTTTTCAACCTCATTAGCAGCTGAACGGTTGACAGTGTCAGTCTGTCCATTTGTCTGTCCATTGATCAGCTTTGAAATACGATATTGATTATTGAGTGAACTGCTGACCCATACATGTTAACAATGTAGTGTAAACAAGTTAACATGCACAAAGCCACTAATGTACTAACAAAGAATTCCATGTTAGTACTGAGGTAACTAATTCCTTATATATCAGTTAAAGTTAGAATGAAACAGCCATCACTGCCAATAAATGGAAATGTTGCTGCTATATAGAGAATAAACACTTTTTATTAGGATGAGGTTAGAACTGTTGCCTCACATAAAGTATTTTATCCAGATCCACAGACCAACTAGGGAATATATGTGTGTCTCTAAGTCTCCAGTTCAAAGACATGCCTGTTAGAGCCACTTATACAACTGACAAATAACTATAAAAATTCAGATTTTGCTGTAGGCTTGCAAAAACTAAAAGCTCCAAAGTTTTATTTCAGTGTGCTTTATTTGGGCCAGTAAATATCACAGGCAGCCCCAAATTCTGATTGGAAGTTGGTGATGTTTGTGTGGATAAAGGATAAAGACGTCAGTTTATTTCAAGCTTAGCGTTTATCAAATAGCTGGACAGTGTCTGCATTGGGTCAATAGTCGATAAGAGATTACAAATAGAGTGAAAGATCTTAAACTTTGTTTTCTCTTTTTAGCTGCACAGTCTGCAATCTTGAACAGAACTATCAGCAAAATACTGAAAAATGAGAAGCCAGATAAGAAGGTAAATGTCACATTTACATCAGTTATAATTTATATCTTTGATTATGAAGACTGCTGTAACTCCTCTGTTTGATGTACCCTTGATGAAAAACGTGCAAATGCATACTGAGTAATTTTCTCGTTTATAGTACGACGGGTACACGTCGTGTCCGTTGGTCACAAGCTACAACACAGTCATTCTGGCAGAGTTTGACTACAATGGACAACCACTAGAAACGTTCCCCATCAACCAAGCCAAAGAAAGAAGATCAATGTACCACATGAAGGCTGATGTGATGCCTCACCTCTACTGGCATGGCCTCCTCCGGTATGTACATAGTTAATCACCAGTTATTATTACTAGTTGATGGTGGAGTCGCTACACAACAGCTGCTACATTTCTCTATATTTGTCTTCCATCAGGGGCCTGTGGGGTGGACCAGGACCTTACAGGAAGCTCTTTCATCTGGGAATGAAATGAAACATCACCATCAGCTTGCATACTGAAAGTAACTAAACCTTCAGGAAAAAACATGACATGACATTCATCATGTCATAATCCCCAAAGGATGGATACATGTGGCTACAGTGTTAATATTTGTATCTTGAACATCATGATTAATCCCAACTAGTTTAATCAACACAGTCAGTGTTTAAATGTGAAAGCTCATTTAAACCTGCATGAAGGTAAACTTTTTGATTTTATCCTGGAAATAAATGAGTCCCACGACCCTAGTGAGGATTAGGTGGTGTATATATAATGGATGGATGGCTGCAAATAAATGAGTGCAGTGCGGGAGGTGCTCGTAGCGGCTTATAGGTCAATCTTGTGTTCTTATGACTACATATTAAATGGCAGGTCTTGCTGCTTTCACACATTCCAACAAGCAATAAGATAAGTATCGGAGCTGAGAACAAAATTTTGTTGATCGTTTTTATTCCATGTTGATTTAAATCTCTGGATGGTCCGGTGTACGTGGAGTAGAAAGTATGTTTCTTAAAAAAACACACAAGCTAAGACTGACTCTTGGTGCAATGTGTTGACAGTAGTCACTACGTGTTTTCTACAAATACACTAATTTCAAGACTGCTACATTTAAAATTGTGTCTGTTAATGGAAGTCAATCATGTTGTTCCATCGTGGTATGATTTTAACAGGATTCATTTCCATGTAGCTGAAAAACTAAACAGTTCATTCTTTAAAAACATGGTAAGAGTTGTCTTTGAGGATGTTTGACCATCAACATGTAAACTACCACAAGTGCTTCTGCTCACATTTAAACATCAGTGTCTTGAAATAGTGTTGTGTACATAGTGATTATTTTTCTTAAATTATTTTTCTATTATCAGTGCTAAACTGAGTTAGAAATATCTTGGGAGCTATACAATCAGTGCTTGTATCATTGTATTTTTAAAAAAAAGCTACATTACTCTTTAATCATTAAAATGGCTGTAAAGTCATAAACCTGCTGTGATTGTTCTACTGAGGTAAAAACAGATACCTATGCAGCGTTGTTTCAACATTGTTGGACTTGATGGTATTTTCATTAAATCAGAAAATTACAATATGACATGTTATATACGACTGTTTTGTTTTGATTTGGAGTTTAAATGTTCTCCCCATGCAGCGTGGGTTCTCTCCAGATTCTCCGGCTTCCTCCCACACAGTCCAAAAACATGTTGAGGTTAATTGGTGATTCTAAATTGTCCACAGGTGTGAATGTGAGTGTGCTTGGTTGTCTGTCTCTAAGTGTAGCGCTGTGATAGACTGGTGACCTGTCCAGGGTGTCCCCTGCCTTCACCCTAAGTCAGCTGGGATAGACTCCAGCCCCCCGTGACCCTAGTGAGGATGAAGCAGTGTATAGATGATGGATGGATGGATGTTTTGATTTGTGTGTTTCTCTGTGTAGCTGTCATGATCCACATTCAAATATGAACCTGTGCAGAGTTATTGGAGGTTAGCCACAAGTTTTGCATGTATTAGTACAGGAACTAGAGGACTGTTTAACTTGTACAGTCTTATCATGTTGATTTCGGGGTGAACAGTGCATTTGTTATGCCCCCATCAATAGTCATCATCAGGACAACACGAACAAATCATTTGAGTAGATCATGTTGACTGTTTTCTAGGAAGCCACTTTATTTCACTGAATTGCCGAAATCACCCTCCCAGAGTCTGAAACTGGCTTGAAAGTTAGTTTCAATTAATTATTGTTTGTCAGAGTGTTTTGTGTTGATGTGGCTGAAAGGTGAACGTTTGACTCTTCATGACAAAGAAGATATCAATTTCCTTTTCACAGCATTTATTTGGAGCATAATTGTTATTCAAGACAGTGTCTGAAAATGCAGCATAGATGAATTGTGATGCATTGTCATTCTCAGGTTTTTCTGCACGCTGCATGTCACATTGAATGAAGGTGGATGCTCCAACTTCTTTAAAATTACAAAAACTTCTGAAAAGGCTCGCAAAAAGGACGTCCGCGTTGTCCTTCTGTAACAATAAACAACAAATAATTGGTGCTATCAATATCTGCAGCAGTTTGTGCATTCTTCAGAGCTTTCTTGTAGTCCCACAACAGCACCAGCAGGGATAAAGTGTGGTAGAGAGCCGGAGTCCAGCTGCGCACACACCATAGCCATTTTCCTGTTGCCTCCGCGCTCCGCCACGTTGGTTTCCTACGTGTGTGTCGCATTCTCCTGCGCAGCACCAACGTTATGTTTGTGATGAGGCGGGAAATGGCGTCCGCAGACATGGTTGATCTGTGACTAGCTACCGAGCGACGGACACAGCTGGCAGCAACGACCACGGCCCGACCTCTATCGGTGGCCGCTACGGTCGAGGCCGAGAGCTGACAACGCTGCGGCAAGTTTCGAAGAGCTTCCTAGATCATCGGCAGGTAACGAACCACGTCAACATGTAAACAAAAAGGTTTGTCCCCCGCGAAAGGCTGACTGCTGCTAGCTAGCGGCTAACGTTAGTCAGCGAAGGGGGCGTAGTCTAATGGCTGTACATAGTTATGGAACAAAATGACGCGTTAGCCGGAGCGTAGCTAACTGCAATTTTGCGTTATTTTACTAAACAGTTAACGGGGGGTTCTCATGTTCAACGCGGATATGTTATTGGAGACACAAAAGATGTGCTTTGGGAAGTGAAGCGAATAATGTCACGGCATCGCTTTTGCTGCCTTTGGCGTTTTGTTAGCCTGGAAGCTAACTGTAGCCTGTGAACGTTAGCCACACAACCCACCGCCAGCATCTGGTTTATGTTAAGATTAACTGCGATTAACAGCGGCTCTATTAAATTGATACGAGTTAATTGTGACCACACAGACTGTGTGTCGTGAGGAACAAACACAGAACATCAGCGTGAAACCGGTGTCGTGTGTTTACCGGGCTGTTGATGCTAAATACCAGCAGCTGGCTAACGTTAGCGATAGCTGACGTCGTTGGTGTTAATACAGCCTGTCCGATGTTACATAACGACAGTCAGCGGTGCTGCCTGCTGTCAGATCTAATTTAGCAACAACTGACCAAACACACTCACACACTGAGAGCGTTTCTGCTGAACACAAGCGAACAAAATAACTGAAGGCTTTATATTTCCGATTACCTCTCGTGTTTATCGCGTACACCACCCACTCAGCTGACCGGTCTGCTGACATGCATCTTGTTTTGGAAACAACTTTGGGTCTGAACTTTTTCAGATTATTGTTAAATGACGGTGACAGTCAAAGGGAAGGTATGATTTATCTGAACTGATTTGCTGATCCTCGCATTAAATCTGGAGGTACAGACTGTTGTGGGTGCACAGATCTTACTGGACTGATGGAGAAGTGTAGCTGTCACTGTGGTCCAACTGTTGACTTTAACTTCATTTAACCCTTAGATCGTGATTCACTCTTTTTCACGACTGAGGACATCAAAATAAGGAATTATTACAGCCACATTAAAGGTTTTGTTGTGGAGTGTGACTAAGCAGACTTCATCTTTGATCTTTAATTATTGTAAAGAGAGACAGAAAGAGGAACTGAAAACTTCAAACATAAATAGATGATCATATTATCATATGATGACACGCTAAAACCGTCCTACATGGGGAAGTTATATTTTTAGATATTTGAGCTCAGGAGTAGAGCCCAAACCATAAACTGAACTTCTGGTCACATATAGGCTAATCTGAAACAGCATTCCATAAACACTAATGATGTTTTGTGTCCAAGTTAATTTAGAAACCGTATCTCCATTAAATAATTTGTATACCAGAGAACATGGTATAAAATCTGTTTAGTTTTGGTCACGATTAAAACTGTAAATTGTGAGCTTCAAGCATATTAAGTGTCTGTGTGTAAACCCTTAGAAGTAAGAACAGACAACGTGTCGTTCTTCAATATAACTGTGTGCTGTCAAATATTGCCAAATGAATTAAGAACAATTTAAGACAACACAGAGGCAGCCCAGAAAAGAAGCTAGTGGAACAATGCTTGGTGTCAAACCAGTGAAATTAGAATCCCCAGTTTACAGTTTAAATAATATCTACTGCAAGAGAAGAGTCTTAAGAATAAATAGCAACATTAATGCAAAAGAATTGCTTGGATGAAGAGCTTTTCTTTAGCATATTTCTAATTTAATTAACCTAATTAATATGATCAACTTCTTAAACCGATTATGAGAAGCCAATTTCTTTTTTTTTTCAAAATTTTTTGTGTTAACACTTATATATTATTAAACAAGCAATGCATTTAGTCTTTTAGAAAGTGATTGTCTGAAAGTTACATGATAACAGGCCTTTGCATTAAAAATGTATTTATAAAGACTGGGTATAGAAACTCTGCTTTTTGATCCAGGCATATGTCTCCAGCGCAGAGTATCAAAAACTGCATTCATTTGTTCAAATAAGTCACATTTTCTCCCTTCGTTTTTTTCCCCTTGTTAGATTTTTCTATGTGACGTTGGAGCATGATGAGGCTGAGAGTGCGTAAAGCTCCTCAGCAGCCGAACTTAGGCCATCGAACCCACCCATCCCAGGCCAAACGGAAACACTGTGAGGTGGAGCCATCACCGGTGCGAGGTCGAGGCAAAATGCAGAAGAATGAAACAGGCCTGCTCTCCACAATAAAGAAATTCATCCGTGGAAATGCTGTCAAGGTAGGCACAGATTTGAATTCATCGCTGCTCTAATGCAATTTTAGTTTTATTTGTTTTTATGTGATGGTACACTAGAGGAGCACACGCTCTGGAAAGAAAAAAAAAATGCTCTTTGGGCTGACAGTGTGAAACAATGACTCACACATAATGGCTAGTCGTGTTTCTCGACACTTAAGTGATAGGTCCACAATTTTGCAAGCCTGTGTTAGCAACAGTCTGATGTGCACGTGAACACCTGTGTTACCCTGGATGCCCGGAGGAAGGGAGGGCAACAAAGAGGTGGACAATTTCAGACTAAGTATCTGTTGCCTTGGAAGATACTACCCACTTTATGTGAGTCAGGCTGATGAAGCCTTTTGCAGCGAATGCTGTAGATTTAGTCCATGAACGCATCCACTGGGGAAAAAAAACACACTATGAAGGGATCTCTTTAACCCAGTGTGAACAGGAGGAATGCTAGCATCAAACAAATCATGTTTCAGTGTTCATACGGGAACCCGACTGTGGTTTTAAGATGCTGTTGTGTCCTAACTCTCTGTGAACTTCCTCTGTTTTCACTTTGATAGCTGTAATAAATTGTATTTATAAATTATTGTAAACCCTGTAATGTGTTTGCTGGAGCTTAACACCAAAAAGGAATGCAGGTTCTACACATTCCTAGAAAACATTTTCCCAACTTCAGAAGTGGCCCTGCTTTGTCCAAACCTCCTCTTGAACATGCAGCACATTACTGCATCATGCCACGCAGCCTTTACAGAACAGTGTTATGTCTTAACAAGAACCTTGATCACTTTATGTCAACGTCAGACCAACAGTGTTTTTCCAAACAATTCCAACAGACCATAAGTTATAAATATATGCTGTCACATGCATGTAAAAGCTGTATGTTAAACCTGTACAGAGAAATGAAACACACACTTTGTTGTTTGTGACTCACTCACCGTCTACAGTACACAGCAGTAAGTTACCTACGTTTGGTATTTAGTGTAATTCATTTTAATTTGCAACCATTGTATGCACTTTACAGTGTTGCCAGTTATATTTCTCATTATAACATTTTAAATGTATTCCGATTGAATGAGTAGAAATGCACTGAAAACCTACAATAGTTTGAACAATTTCTAACTTTAATTGGTACCTCTGTTGTGTTTTTTTTCTCTCAGGTGGAGCAGGATATTCCTGCCAAGAGGAGTCGTATTGATTGTAATTCTGACGGCGATCTAATTACTTCAACACCACAGACTCGAGGTCTTTCCAACAAAACAGTCTCCAGAGTTTGCCGGAAAAGTCCAAATAAAGGTACAATTAACCCAAAGTGTATTGTGGAAAAAAAACTGAATTATATGCCTTTACCAGGATATATAGTTAAAGAAAATAAAGAAACTATTCAGGTGTTGTGTTTGTAGATTGTTATTAAACATTTATCATTTCAT